GAGGTCAGGAGATCGAGACCATCCTGGCTAACACAGTGTAACCCCGTCTCTACTAAAAATACAAAAAATTAGCCAGGTGTGGTGGCGGGCACATGTAGTCCCAGCTACTGGACAGGCTGAGGCAGGAGAATGGCATGAACCTGGGAGGCGGAGCTTGCAGTGAGCGGAGATTGCGCCACTGCACTCTAGTCTGGGCGACACAGCAAGACTTCATCTCAAAAAAAAAAAAAAAAAAGAAATGATTGTTTTTGTTTTTAAGAGACAGGGTCTTGACATGCTGCCTGGGCTAGAATGTAGTGGCTAGTCACAGGCAGGATCATTGCACACTAAAGCCTTGAACTCCTTAAGCAATCCCCCCACCTCAACCTCCTGAGTAGCTAGGTCTACAGGTAGGCGCTGGTGAAAAATGGAGATTTTATTGTGCACAGCCTACTCAAGTAAGATTCCTTGGGAAGAAAACCTAAAATAAGATCCCAGAAAGTTCATTTATTCTCAATCATGGCTTAATGACATTAAAAAAACAGTAACAAAGGCCCTCTTCAGTCACAAGATTATCCCAGACATTGGTTCCACACTGTGAATTTCGTATTTTTGGGCGCAGGTCACCAACTTTTAACTTCTTCACCTACTATACCAGTTCTAGTCAGGAATGCCCCTCTTTGGACCTCACTGCCTCCCATGGTTGAATACCCTTCCCTACTCTATACTCATATAAACTAACAATAAATAGAACATACAATAACTCTTTGAATTACTGATTTATTTTTATCAGTAGCTAAGCTCTGCCTACCCTGTCTTTCAAGGCCAAGTCATCCCATTTCTTCTTAAAAAATCTTTGCCACCTATAAAAGGAGGTATATGAGCACATACCTGCATGCACGGGTATCTGTACACAAATAAACAAGTTTATCTGTCCAAAACATTATAATACTTGTCATCTAGGCATACCTGTTTGTCTAGTGCTCACTGCTCCTAAGCAATACTAAGACACAAGAACTCAAAGTGAGAGATAAAGGTAACTAACACGCACATCACCCAGCTTAAGGCAGGTTCCCAGGCTGTGGATAACATCTTCTGCTAGGTCTGAGTGGTCTGAGTCCCATACCAGCCCAATTGTGATAATCTGTGGAGCATTCATCAACACACGGCGAATCCTGATCCTCTCTCCACAGTTGCTCTGAAATACACATACAAGGCTAGTTCAACATGTTTCCCACTGGCTTTGCCTCAATCCCACTGATCGACGGTTCCCTTTCCCACTCCAAGCCCCACCCCTGATTTAACTCACTGGACAGTTCCGCAGATCCCCCATGGTGCTGGCATTCTGCAGCAGCTCACCAAACATGCTTGGTGAAGGTTTCTCTCGTCTTTCCAGCATACAAATAGCCTGATTGCTTCGAGATGGGGAATAGAAGGGGAATGATGATTTGTACGTAGTTACTGCTAAATCAAACATTAATGTAAATTCCTAACTCACACGTTTGACTTTCTTCCTCTGCCCACTATACCAAAGCCCCTGACCAGGCTCAGTGTCTCATAAACACAGTGAGTACCTCTACCTGCTACTCATAGAATCCCCACTCCTCCTCCCACTTTGCTTGCCAGTACTGAGCCTAAGAAATGGGGAGGGATGGGAGAGGAAAGGAGAACAAAAGTTATTTTTAAATTACCGTTCTGCATTCCTACAATATAGCACAGACTCAGCAATGAGGATATAAAACTATTTGTGTTTTTGGTGGTAGTGGTGGTGGTGGTGGTTTTTTTGAGACATGGTCTCGCTCTGTTACCCAGGCTGGAGTGCAGGGGCTCAATCTCAGCTCACTGAAACCTCTGCCTCCTGGGTTCAAGTAATTCTCATGCCTCAGCCTCCAGAATAGCTGGGACTACAGGCACATGCAACCACGCCTGGCTAATTTTTGACATTTTTAGTAGAGACAGGGTTTTGTCATGTTGGCCAGACTGGTCTCGAACTCTTGGCCTCAAGTGATCTGCCCACCTGGGCCTCCCAAAGTGCTAGGATTATAGGCATGAGCCACCATGCCCGGCCAGGATATAAAACTATTTGAATGTCTTCAATTAAAGTTCAATAGGCCATGCACCGTGGCTCACACCTGTAATCCCAGCACTTTGGGAGGCCAAGGCAGGTAGATTATTTGAGGTCAGGAGTTCAAGACCAAGCCTGACCAACGTGGTGAAACACCATCCTACTAAAAATACAAAAAAATTAGCGGGGTGTGTACTATTTGTGGAAATAGCTGGAAGTCTCAGCTACTTGGGAGGTGGAGGCAGGAGAATCACTTGAAACCGGGAGGCGGAGGTTGCAGTAAGCTGAGATTACGCCACTGCACTCCAGCCTGGGCGACAGAGTGAGACTCTGTCTCCAAAAAAAAAAAAAAAAAAAATGTCCAATCAACTAGAGGAATGCCTAAAGGCACAACAGAAAATCTTGTAAGACTCACCAAAGGGAAGTGGTGGAGATATAATGTACCATCTGGATGAAAGGCAGCGGATCAGAAGTGGCACCACAGCTAGTACAAACACACTGGGCCAAAGAGAAAAAGGCAAAACCAAGCAACCATAGTCAGGAACTGTTTTGGCACCCATTTAACACCCCACATCCCAGGATAAAGTGTTCTTGAACAAAGGTCAAAAAAAAGATGGAGCTAGAGTTCACCTGCTCAAACAATGTCATTGCAAATTTCTGATGGGAAATGCAGTGTTGGGCAGTACATATATCCTCTTTGGTTTCATCAGCAATGTGGAAGTGAATTCTCATCAGGAGGTTTTCCTGACAGTGAAAGAACAAAAGCAGTACACCAACAATATTTAACAGACAAATACATAAATTGGTAAGCAGCTTACCCAGAGAAACAGCAACCTTTCTGGAAAGTAGGAATATTTTGATTTTTTTAACTTTTTAGTTTAAAATAATTATAAATTCATAGCGAATTTCAAAAATGTACAGGAGATCCCCCGTATCCTTCACCCAGCTTCCTCCAACAGTAACATCTTTGTTTTTCTTTTTTTTTTTTTTTTTGAGATGAGTCTCGCTCTGTCGTCCCAGCTGGAGTGCAGTGGCTCGATCTCAGCTCACTGCCAGCTCCGCCTCCCGGGTTCATGCCATTCCTCTGCCTCAGCCTCCCAAGTAACTGGGACTACAGGCGCCTGCCACCACTCCTGGTTAACTTTTTGTATTTTTAGTAGAGACGGGGTTTCACCGTGTTAGCCAGGATGGTCTCGATCTCCTGACTTCATGATCTGCCCGCCCCAGCCTTCCAATGTGCTGGGATTACAGGTGTGAGCCACCACGCCCGGCACATCTTTGATAACTATACCAGGAAACGGACATTGATAGAATCCAGACTTTATTCAGATTTCACCAGTTTTACATGCATTCGTGTGTGAGTATGTATAGCTCTGTGCCATTTTATCAAGATACAGACCAGTTCCATCACAAGGCTCCCTCATGCTGGCCATTTAGAGCCTTACCTGTCCAAACCCAACCCTAACCTGTAGAAATCACTAATGTCTTCTCTCATCTATAATCATTTTATTTCAAGAACGTTATATAAATGGGATCATATACCACATAACCTTTTTTTTTGAGACACAGTCTGGCTCTGTCGCCCAGGCAGGAGTGCAGTAGTGATCTCAGCTCACTGCAACCTCTACCTCCCAGGTTCAAGCGATTCTCGTGCCTCAGCCTCCTGAGTAGCTGGGATTACAGGTATGCACCACCATGTCTGGCTAAGTTTTGTATTCTTAGTAGAGACAGCATTTCACCATGTTGACCAGGCTGTTCTCGAACTCCTGACCTCAAGTGATCCGCCTGCCTTGGCTTTCCAAAGTGCTGGGATTATAGGAGTGAGCCACTGCGCCCAGGCCAGCATATAACCTTTTGATAGTGCATTTTACACTTAGCGTAATTCCCTTGAGATCTGTCCAAGTTGTGTAAATCAACAGTTTATTTTTATTTTTATAAAAATACTTAATGCTTTGTATTGCTACATAGTTCTTCACGGTACAGAAGTACTATCTTTTGTTTAGCCATCTACTCACTGAAGGACATTTGGGTTGTTTCCAGTTTTTTACTATTATGAATAACACTTCTATGAACATTCATAAACAGGTTTTGTTTTAATATAAGTTTTCGTTTCTGTGGGATACATGTCCAGGAATGTAATTGCTAGATCATATGGTACTTTACATGTCTAGCTTTTTAAGAAACTGCCAAACTGTTTTCCAGAGTAGCTATACCGCTTTGCATTCCCACGAGTAATATATCAGTGATCCAGTTCCTCAGGAGCACCTCTGATTTGGGGCCACATTTTATCCTGTGATGAGATATATATCACTGTTACATTTTCTTTTCTTTTTTCTTTTTTTTTTTTTTTTGAGACAGAGTCTCACTGTGTCGCCCAGGCTGGAGTGCATTGGTGCAATCCAGGCTCACTACAACCTCCTCCTCCCAGGTTCAAGTGATTCTCTTGCCTCAGCCTCCCAAGTAGCTGGGACTATGGGCACCCACCACCATGCCTGGCTAATTTTTGTATTTTTAGTAGAGATGGGGTTTCACTATGTTGGCCAGGCTGGTCTTGAACTCCAGACCTTGAGATCCACCTGCCTTGGCCTCCCAAAGTGCTGGGATTACAGGTGTGAGCCACTGTGCCCAGCCTCAAATTTTCTAAATGGATGTACAGAGAGTCTTTTAAAGGCTGACGGATAGAACACAGAGTTCAGAAGAGTGAGGGGCACTGGGGGCAATGTAGCTATCTATCTAGCACATCACAGTTATGCTAGGGACTCAGTTATTCCCTGATTAATTATCTTTAGAAATGGAGGAGCAGCATCAGTATCAGCATTACTTAGGAACCTGTTAGATACAGATATTCAGAGACCCCTCCACTAGGCCTACTGTATCAGAAGCTCTGGGGGTACAGCCCAGCAATTTGTATTTTAATGAGCCTTGGATCCTCTGAAGGTGAAAGCTGATATTTTACGCAATGACAAGCACAAAACCACCAGCCTAAAGGAAAAATAATAACACACTGCTATAATAAAGACATTTTAGATCCCTGAAAAATCAGAGAAACTCCTAGTTCTAACTGTAGAGATAACGACACAGTAAATTCCACCATAAAGTAGCCAGTCCCTGATGGAAACCATCAGCAGCCCCACCCCATATCAAAAAGGGCCAGAGGCCAGCACTTACAAAGCACTCTGCAGCATCATCCATAATTCCCAGCTGGAAACGTTGTTCATCCTGGAAAGTCTTTGCCAGAGCACTGCGGAGAGTGTCAGATGGAAGCACTTTTTCACTACTACACTGAAACTGGTTAAAGATTCCCTGTAGGGAAGAAGTTAGACAAGAGAAAAAGTGCAATGCTGTTATTAAACTAGTATACATCCTAGTCTGTCATGCTAGCATCTCCATGATGATAGCTATGAAACCAAATGTGCTTCCCATGGGTTGACATGCTTGCAGTTAGTAATTAAAAATAAAATCAAGAGTCAGAATGAAGGGCATGATCTGTGCTAATAAATATCCTCATTCCTTCATCTGAGTGTGATGCCAAGGACACATTAGGAGAAACCACTGTCATGAATTAATGTAATGCAGTTACCTCATTTCTTCTTCCTCTAATACAGACAGAAGTAGATGGGTTAGGTAAAAAAAGAAAAAATACATATAAACATATCAACAAATTATTTTCTGGGGGTTCATCCTATGAATCTTGACCCCCTTTCTTTTAAAATATTCAGCTAATATAAAATTACCAAAAAGTACAAAGACTAATACAACAAAAATCTGTGAGTCTAATACCCAGAAATAAACATTCTATCATGTTTACTTTCATCTACAGATAATGCCAAAGTCCTGTTTAAGACTGCCCCACTCTCTACCAGCCACTCATATCATAAATTTGTTGTATAATCTTGTTTTTAATAGTTTTATATATATATCCCTAAATAATACATAGGATACTTTTGTGTAGATTTGTGGGTTTTTTGTTTAGTTGGTTTTTTGTGTGTGCTTTTGTTGTCTTTTTTTGAACAGGGTCTTGCTTTGTCACACAAGCTGGAGTGCGGTGGCATGAACATGGCTCACTGCAGCCTCAATCTCCTGAGTAAATGGGACTACAGGCATGCACCACCACACACCGCTAACTTTTCAACTGTTTTGTAAGAGATGGGGTCTCACCATATTGTCCAGGCTGGTCTCAAACTCCTGGGCTCATGCAATCCTCTCACCTTGGCCTCTAAAAGTGCTGGAATTACAGACATGAGTCACTGCGCCCAGCCCTATTAGTATTAATAGGCTGAGGCAAGAGAATGACGTGAACCTGGGAGGCAGAGCTTGCAGTGAGCCGAGATTGCACCTCTGCACTCCAGCCTGGGCAACAGAGCAAGACTCCAATTCAAAAAAAAAATTGTTTTCCCATTCTGCCGTCTCACTAGCACCTTTCCTCCTCATACATACTGAATATCTACTCCTGCAGCAGCTCAAGAACAGATTACTGTGTAACCTGCTATTATGTTCCTACAAATGTCTCCATATGATGTGGGGGAGGCAGTGCCAGCAATACATATTTAGTATTCTTTAATTAGCTGTGAGGGAAATCTGTTATAATTACTCCACATTATTTTGGCTCAACCTAGAAATTTATATACAAGTCCATTATAAGGTCAAGGAAAGGCAGGGCAGGGCCTTCCATAATTTGTTACTGGAAGGGGAAGAATGTCTATTAGTAACCTCTTAAACTAGACCAAAAGGAATGATCTAGGTCCACAGTTAAATAATTGGATATGTGTCCAGTGACCCATGGGATTTTGAACCTTTGGAGAAATAAGGAGAAACAAAGGACAAGGAAGGGGGGAAAAGCAGTGACTGCTTTTACAAATTGCATAGTGGCCTGATGACATCATGATTTGTTGAAAGAAGGTCAACCCAGCTTGGCAAAACTTAGTGACCACTATTACATCCCAGCCTGTTGCTCTTCTCAATTGTTACTGGTAAGAAATTACTGCTGACATAGGCTCTATTGCAGAACAAAGGATGGATGAGGTTTGGTCCTTTGTTCAAAATCCAAAATTGTTTCCAAAACAAACCAATAGGAAATTATTTCCAGGATAGTTCTATACAAATCTGAAATTTATAAACTCCGGCCCCTTTAGTCTTCTTCAACTGGATTTCCTCAAGAATTAAGCCCTAATACTCTAGGGCCTTAACTGTTCCTAACGAAATAGCAACTCTCCTATGCGTAGCACTAGCTATATGCCATCTTGGAGAGAATTAAGAAAATAGTCACTCTAATCACTTTCTGTGTTCTGTGGTTCTCAGATGACCCTGTTTGAGAAAAGTCAGGACTCTACTCAGAGATGGTATGGTGTAATAGTTAACAGACTGGATTCTGGAGCTAAAATGGGTTCAAAATCTCAACCCTGATACTTCAGCTATATGATCTTGGGTAAGTTATTTAACTTCTTTAGGCCTCAGTTTCTCTTTTAAAAGAGAGTTTAATAACAGCATTTACACCAGCCTGACCAATATGGTGAAATCCCATCTCTACTAAAAATGCAAAAATTAGCCAGGTGTTGTGGTGAGTACCTGTAGTCCCAGTTACTCGGGAGGCTGAGACAGGAGAACTGCTTGAACCTAGGAGGCGGAGGTTGCAGTGAGCCGAGATCCGGCCACTGCACTCCAGCCTGGATGACAGAGCCAGACTCCGTCTCAAAAAAAAAAAAAAAAAAAAAAAACAGTATTTACTGCCTAGGGTTATTTGAGGATTAAATGAGTACACACACACACACACACACACACACACACGTATATATAAGATATATATCAGCCGGGCGTGGTGGCCCACGCCTGTGATCCCAGCACTTTGGGAGGCTAAGTCGGGAGGATTACCTAAGGTCAGGAATTCGAGATCAGCTTGGCCAGTATTGTGAAACTCTATCTCTACTAAAAATGCAAAAATTAGCCAGGTGTGGTGGCAATCACCTGTAATCCCAGCTACTCGGGAGGCTGAAGCGGGAGGCTGAAGCAGGAGGCTGCAGTGAACTGAGATCACTTGTACTCCAGCCTGGGTGACAAAGCGAGACTCCGTCTCAGGAAAAAAAACAAACAAAAAAGGATATAGGCCGGGCGCGGTGGCTCAAGCCTGTAATCCCAGCACTTTGGGAGGCGGAGACAGGCGAATCACGAGGTCAGGAGATCGAGACCATCCTGGCTAACACGGTGAAACCCCGTCTCTACCAAAAAATACAAAAACTAGCTGGGCAAGGTGGCGGGCGCCTGTAGTCCCAGCTACTCAGGAGGCTGAGGCAGGAGAATGGCGTAAATCCGGGAGGCGGAGCTTGCAGTGAGCTGAGATCCGGCCACTGCACTCCAGCCTGGATGACAGAGCCAGACTCCGTCTCAAAAAAAAAAAAAAAAAAAAAAAAAAGGACATAAATGTATATATCTTAGACTAATCCTTGTCAGTGTGATAAATGCTAAATGTTAGGTATTATTATTATTATTCTATTTAGGAGTCATTTCAGGTTGCTAAAGAGACTGTCTGTCACTGTCCTATGTTGAAAGAAGGGATCTGAGTCAGATGCTTCTACCTTGAGCTACTTCCTCAGTCACTGAGATCTGAGTAGGAAGAACTACACTTTTTCCTATTCTATATTCTGTTTCTCCCATTCAAAGGAGGCATATTTCCCATGACCTAGATAACAAGGGTTTCAGTACAGAAAGGGAAAGGTCTTAAGGTCAGAGCTCTGACTGCACCCAGAGCGGGTCTGTAACAATAGATCTGGCTCCTCAGTTCAGTGGTATCAACGTCTCTATGATATAATCTTTTCTCACCTCTTAATTACAGGCAGCCTTCCTCATACACACTGAAAATCTGAATGCATTCAGAATGGCCTCTGACTACATCTTCTTTATTCTCTTATTTTAATTATTGTTGTCAGTCTTGCTCTGCTATTGTTAGGAAGAAGCAAGTGTATTAGGGGTAAAGCTGACTGAGCCCGCCCAGCATGCATCTGTGGAGCTCTGGAAGAAGCTGTAGCACAAAGCCCCTCTGTTAGAGCAGCACACTAACCTCTGTGTGTCCCTCTCACATGAGCACAGGGACTGGAATGGGCCTCCTCCCGTTCTCTTTTTCACCCTCCTCCCACCTTTCCCAGAGGGAGATCCTGTTCACACCAAAGAAAGCCAAGAACATTTAGTTCAGCAGTAAGAACAGGTGGCAGCACCAATAAGGAACAAAAACTGGTATTCTTCCAATTGCTGAGTTCTATGACAGGCAGGGAGAAAGGGCAGGAGGAAACAAAACCCAAGAATCACTTTTCCTGTGGGGTCCCTGATGGTTCCATTTCAACAAGTAGAGAAAATCCACCTTGGAGTTTCTCTCTGCTCTTCTTCACAGGGTGAAACCAAAGAGGTCTTCCTTTTCATTCTCAGGAAAAGGCAAATCACTTTTTGTCTGTTAACTAGTTTCTTGGATGCAGTACAAAAGCAACAAGACTTTAATGACTAAAAGCAGGTGCTTCCCCACCCACCTCTCTTGATTAAGCAGCAAACAATTCTATCCACATAGCACATAATTATTTGGATTAGTAAAAACCATAAGTAAGAAAGAAGTGCCATAAAAACAGAAAGTCTTTGTGCTTCGGCATCTACAAATGCAGCTGTTGCTTAAGTATTTTTTCCCCTAAAACAGACTCTTGTCTTTAAGTGGGAAACAGCTGTTTTTTTCTCTCTCAGGATTTCCTAGTCTTATATCTAAAAGAAGTCATGAGTAAAGAAGGTGAGGATTAAGGAGAAAGGTTGTCACTAATTTTGGTGCTTTTTGAGCTCAAGGTCTTTGGAAAGTGCTCCAGTAGGCAGCCCACTTCATCCCTGCAATACCTTCTGCAAAGGTGTGACAAACTTTACACCCTGCCATTAACTCTTTTCTTAGGGTTTCTCTTCTCGATCTGGACTTCCCAAATCACTCATCATTTTGGCTCTCATAATCACTACTTTCGCTACATCTCCAGGGAATCACAGAACTTAATTGGCCAGTATGGCTTCTTTGTAAACACTACCCTCTGTAAGTAAGTTAAGGGAGCTAGTCCTTGAGGATGACTGACTACTGGAAAAGAGAACGTTCACTTGGTTTTGTGTATTCAAAAGAATGTTGAAAGTTGTCTTTCAAGAGGGGAGAAACATTTTACCCTTTTGGCACCCAAAAATAACACAGGATTTTAACATTTTATTGTAGAAAACTTCAAACATACAAGGGTAGACAGAAGAGCTAAATCAACTCCTTTTATTTATCATTCAACTTCAACAATTATCAACCTGTGGCC